GCACAGATTTACCTCAGCAATAATTTCAAGTCAGAGACTTTTTTCTATAGCTGAGGATATAGAGACAAAGCACGTGGATAGAAATAAGATCCAGATCAGCCATGATTTCACTGTATGATGGAGGAAGCTCTATAATCCTTTCTCTGTCTCATATGGACATTAGATTTTATGTAGAAAATCTGCCTTAATACCTTTACAAAGTCCTAAAATAATTATCTTGCCCTTTGTCAGTTGATCTATTTCAGTAACAGCAGTTACTAAACACAGAACATAGGATAGTGCTTCACCTCAATCTGATCAATCTTGACTTGTTTGTAAGCTTTCTTCATTTCCTTGACACCAGTTTTCATTGCATCCACCTACAGAACAGAACAGATATCAGCACAACCCTGCATAATTCAATGAAATTAGTTTGGGATAATTTACTGTATTTCGAAAATAGGTTTCTTAAATATAATGAGCATTTGCAGTGTTACTCCATAAAACTGAAGCTATCACTCATTTTTATTTTTTCTGTATTAATTATGTATCATATATACATATTAAATATTTTACATTATATAGGCACATTAGAACTGCAGTTATGCTATTTTGCTTTACCGTTGTTTTTGTGTCTTTCAATGTCTGTATGGTATAATTGGCTTGTTCCATGTTGAACGACTGCTGCATGAGATTGTCTCTCTGTTGTTCATACCTATCAACGGATGCCACATATATTCAAAATATTAATTGCTTAAATTATCGAGTACACTACAATTAAGATTGACCATAGTTTAAAAAAAAACTCACATTCTCTTTTGCTTCAAAACGCGCATTGCCTTTTGCTTTACCATATTCTAGAAAACAAAAGCAGCAATGAGTATTTTTTTTGCTAATGTAATCAAAAGTCCAAAAGGTTCATACGAATGGTCAAAACTCCCCTAAAAGCAAATCTTAAAAAAGACGACTCATGTGGTGCTTTTATCTAAACCCTGAATAGGAATACCTTCCTCTCAGGTCTTAAAAAATTCCTCTTGTCATTGCTTAGCTCTGGTTTTAAGACAGCAATTCCATGTAAAGAATAGTTATTTCCCCGATTTATAAATGATTCCAAATAAATGATTTTCATCCCATGTAGCTGAACAAAAATATACCAGAAAGCCAGCTTTGCCCTTCATGTTTTACAACTATGAATATTTTTAAAATATTACCTTTGATGCACCATCTCTCATTTTCTTCATTTGATCTTTGTATTTTGCCAATTCGATATCAAGCCTAGAAATTTTCTTATCAATAGATTCGGCTCTGCCATCGACCTGAACAAAAAGATCAAAAAATTTTGTTTTTCCTTCAACTGGAACTGACAGCAGAGAGAGACATGGTGAGATAGCGAGAACATAAAAAGAATAATAGCTTTCATTAACATAACCTATTGATGAAAATATCTGAAATCTCTCACCTTTGGTACATAGCTCACCAAGAGATATAAAAATAGATGAGGGACCAGGAGGTTGGCAAGGAATCAGAAAAGATGATAAAGAGGAGACAAGAAGAGTGAGAAACAGGAGTGGAATGAAGGATAGTTGGAAATGGGACAGAAATAGATGACGACGGACAAAGGGATGACAATGGGTTGCTACACAGGTCATGGGTTGGAGTTAGCAGTGAAGTTGAAAAAGACAGTTGGCTATTCCCTTGGTGAGGGAAATGAGCTAGTGGCTTCCTTGATAAAGCATCCGTGCAGGCATCGGGGTGGCCAATTTCTCCATTAGTGGTGGGTCTAAGTCACTAGATGGTGAATAAAGGGAGATGGAGAAGGGAATTGGGGATGGGAAGATGATAAAAGAGAACCTTTATTGGGTTTGCAATAATGTGTGCAGTATGACAAGTGTTGGTGGGAGTATAGTAAAGTCATGGCTCTCAAGCAGGACCATTTTTTCTAAAGTTGAGTTGTTTTATTCTTTTATGAGACATGGTCATTACCATTGATGCCAGCATTAATTGCCCTTGAACTGAGTGACTTGCTAGGCTGTTCCAAAGAGTGGCTAAGAATCAACACTATGTGGGTCTGCAGTCACACAAAGACCAGATGAAGGCAACAGATTTCTTTCCCTGAAGGGCATTAGTGAACCAGAGGGGTTTTTATGACAATAGATAATGGTTTTATGGTCACCATTACGGAGACTAACTTTTAATTGTAAATTTATTAAATGAATTTAAATGCCACCAGTTAGCAAGCCCCGAGAGGTTTAGCCTGGGCCTCTATTACTAGTTCACCAACATTACCTGCAGGCCAGCGTCCGAGTGTGGTTTCGTCAACATTCATTTTCATTCCATAGTTCATACCTGCTGATACTAGTTTATCCAATACCTCTTGTAATCATCTTTTGTGATTTTTAAAATTCCTTCATGGGATGTGGATGACATCGGATGGGCAAAAAAAAAATCCTGGTCTAGCCATAGATGCCTTTGTGGAGTCACCGCATTCTTGAACCACCAATAGTTGTGGATGTAGGTTTGGAAGATGCTGTCTAAAGAGCATTGGCGAATTTCTGCAGTGCATCTTGTAGAACTGCTGCTACTGAGCATCAGTGATGGAGAGTGTGAATATTAGTGGACATGGTATAAGTGGGTTGCTTTGTCCTGGATGGCACCAACCTTCTTGAATGTTGAAGCTGCATTCATCCATGCAAGTGGAGAGTACTGCACCACACTCCTGACTTGACCTTTGTAGATGGTGGATGGTAATGCCATTGAATATCAAAGGGTGATGACTAGATTCTCTCTTGTTCTATATGATCATTGCCATTCTGTGGCACAAATGTTACTTGCCAATTTTCAGCCCAAAGTTGGATATTGTCCAGGTCTTGCTGCATTTGTGCATGGACTGCTTCAGTTACAAGTTGTTATAAGTACTTTATCATCTGCAATGTCATCATTCATTCACTGAATCTTAACACCACATCTTCTGTTTGCAAACTTTCATCGATCATTGCTTTACATAGGCATTGATGAACATCACCAGTTCTTGTCAATTAACAGCATAGGCAATATGAGGAAGGTCTGGGACTTCTTCACTGCTGTGGGAAAGGAGGGGATATGGGGTGCCGACTAAAGGCTGTGTGGGGGCTCGGCACTGTCCCCTGCGAAAGCAAATGGTTGTTGGGTGGGGGGGGGCGGGCACTTAGTTACTAAGGAGCAGCAGGTCACTTGGAGACCTAGGTGAGGGTGGCATGTGAGCGCTTGGGGTTGAATGTGAGCAGGAGAACCACCACTGACTGGACTAGTGCATGCAGACAGGTTGGCCAACTTGTCAAGAAGAGATAATAGCTAACCTGTCAGATCACACACAAGGGTTCACACAGCAAAGAATAGTTAGGTACAGCAGGGTTGCTACCTCTGTCAAATCCATCAGGTGTAGGCCATGTGGGGTGTTTATGGTATGGACATTTTCTAATCGTGTGGTACAGATATGGTAGCAGTATATCTTAAATCTGAACCAATATGTGTAGCATTCAGATTCAGTTTGACGGTAAAACTGCTTACAAGACTCAAACAACATTTATTTAGTTAACAGAAACAGAGCTTCAAATTGGTCATCCATTGTTGTTAGGTATCATACTTCACCAGCAAGCAGGAATATGTATTTGCCTGGCAACCAGTTAAGATAACTATTACACCCAAATTGTGCTGCCATAGATTAGCTTTTAATGAAGCCAAGAACATTACAATATCTCAATGCGAGTCACATTCACTTCAACAGAAGTCACATGACAGCATAAATAATCTGGTACTGCTGCATGGAAAGAATGAAGATCAGCATCTTTAATTGCTAGACACAGATGAAAAGCAAGTAGTTATGTAACTGAACCATTTTTATGGAATATCAAAGGTCAATTAGGCTTGTATTCACAGGGGATGTAGATGAATAAAATGTATAAAATTCTGTTAGGGCTGGACGAAGTAGATGCAGGAATGGTCTTTCTCTTGGCCTGGGATATTCATTGCAAGGGATTACAGTCTCAGGATATGGGTAAACTATTTCAGTCAGAGATGAACAGAATTGCTTCAGTCAGGAAGGTGCTAAACCTGTGGAATTCTCTACTACAGAAGGCCAACTCATTGAATATGTTTCAGAAAAAAAAAAGAGATTTCTAGAGACTAAAAGCATCAAGGAATATGGACAGAGCGCAGAAGTGTGCCATGAGATAAGCGGACTAGGCATGATCATGTTGAATGGTAGAGTGGGCTCTATTGGCCAAATGGCCTACTCCCACTTTTAGTGCTTCAATAAAACATACCTTGCACAGAAACTTACAGCTGTTCTCTTCAGAGTAGAGAAAGTTAACAGATTTGATAATAGTGTTCAAAATCTTGAAAGATTTTGAAAAAGCAAAGTTATGATCATAAATGCACTACATGAAAGGAGGATGGATACAGATTCAATAACTCTCAAAAGGGAACTGAACAAATTCTTCTTTATTTAGTTCTTTGGGCAGGTATGTTGTTGGCATCAATCTAATGCACACCAGCCATCAGCAAACTGAGCCAATCATCTTCCCTAACATGCAAGTAGTCCACTTTGTTGGCAACATGCATCTTGCATGCACGTTTTAGTCCAGCACTACAAACAGTGATGGTAGAGGATCCAATTTTCTTTCCAACATCTGGACAGCCATGAATTTCTCCCATGTTTATTGCCTGTCAATAGTGTATTTGAAAGGATTTGTAAATTGATAATCTGTTTAGTCAAGTTGCGAATGCTCCTTCCTTGGCCATCAAATCCTGGAGTGAGATTTGAACCTGGAGCTTCTGACCCAGAAAAGGATTCTATGTACTGTGGCTTAAGACAAACAACCTGAGAGAAAGAATTTGCATAAGAATGGGGAAATGGCCAGGAGCATTTCCAGAGTTCAGCACTTGCACAATATGACATATGTCAAGAGTCTGTACTGTATTATTAATTAATATTAGTTAACTTAACGATGCCTTGAAAAGTACTTTTTTGTGTTCTTTCATAGAAATAGAAGATAAAGGGAAACAAGTACGTAGCAAAATTAAAGAAGAATGGAAATCTCAGAGTGAAAAAGTTACAACAGAACAAAAGTCCAGTTAAAACCTCAAGTGGCAGGACTGCAAGTTTTGCTCAGCGTTGTTGCACGTGATGTCGGATGCCTCCATTCTTTGAAAGGAGTACGGTGAACAAGGTAATAGCACAAAGCAGTCTTTTGGCAGGAGAGGTGGTGGTTTTGGTAGTGGTGGTGGTGGGAGGTGGAAATGCAGAATGATAATCCACAAGTGTAAAAATGGTCTAAACCTCAAAGAGAAGACATCTACAAGGGGGAGCTGCACTACAGAAAATGCAGACCTCTGAGGAAATGTTCAACCTATATGCCCTCCCAGGCTGAAGTGGCATTCCAACACACTATTTTGAAAAAGAGATTCTATAGCTTGGGCAATGATTCAATCAACCAATATCACAACAAGAAAACTGGTCATGTAATCTCACTGCTCCATGTGGGAAATCATGCACAAATTGGCTATCACATTTACACCACAACAGTGACAAAGGAAGTGAGCATCACTGCAAGGTCAGAGAAAGATTGGGGAAATTGTCAATGAATGTGATAAATACCTTGGCAGATGGTAAAATTTAAATTCAATAGAATTTGGAAATTACTGATTCCCTGAGAAGATAGTGGTGAGCCGCCTACCTGAACCACAATTAATCACTATCAAGTTGGGAACACAACCCAAAGTAACCAGGACAATTTATTTTATTCAATGTCATTATTATGTCCTGATTAGTCTGAAAGTGAACCACTTCTAAAGCTATCTAGGTATTATCTTGACTAGTTCTATACTGTCAGTTATACAGGTTCACATCTCCAAGATAATAACTGACCAGATATGAAAATTCTTCATCTGTAACTCATTCAGAATAGTTAATCCTATGATCTCCCTGGGTCAATCAGAAACAGATTTTTGTGCTACAAACACATTTAAAACGTACTCCAAATTATGAACAAAATTTACATTTTTATAAACAAGAATGGCCATTAAGCCTGAAACAAGCCTGTACATTTTTCAGCTTTAGCTATTTTTCTTTTATTTGGTCATGGGATGTGGGCATTACCAGCTAAGCTGGAACCTATTGCCTATCCCTAATTGCCCAGAGGGCAATTAAGTTTCAACTACATTGCTGTGATCTGGAGTCACATGTAGGCCAGATTAGGTAAGGACAGCAGATTAACTTCCTTAAAAAGGACATTTGTGAACGAGATTGCATGAACAATCAAAACTGGATACATGGTTGATATTAAGTTATCTTTTAATTCCAAAATTTGCTGAATTTGAATTTCACCATCTAAGGTGCTTTATCACATCCACTGATAAATTTCCCTCTAGGGAAAAAAATCCATCAGTTTCAACGGCCTCAATTAGCATATTTCATAACATCATGCTGTATTAAGAAAATCCAACCAATTTCCCTTTTTAAAGTTAACTTTTAATTCCTTTACTATTCAAATTCATTCAGTGAATATTTTACATGCAACAATTTAATTTGTCTTCAGTAAGATTTGTTTTGGCACATTTGGTTCTGGGGTATAGGCTATGGTTTGGATCGGCAGACTTTGGGCAAACTGTACCTTTGATATTGACTTACTCTCCTCCTTCACTCTCTCCACCTATTCCATTTCTCATACTATTTTCTCTTGCATTATCACCCACTTCCTCTGCTAGTCATGCTCAAGTTTGGTAAATGTCTTCAGTTATTCTCAAAATGTCACTTACTCTGACAGCAATATCACTTCTGTCCTTTTCCATTTTCCATTTAACTACTTTCTATTGATCATTTTATTTTATTCACATTCTTGCTCCTTCGTATGTCTTGTACATTTTTTTTTTAAATCTGCAATATGATAGTTTCACATAGGGTCCTGCACTAACAAGTTCTTTTGTTTCATCTACAGATACTTGTTGACCCACTGAGTGCTACCAGCATTTTCTGGAAACCAAACAACAAATAGAAACGCAACCCTTTTTTGGAATGGAAAACACTGGATAAACAAGACATTGAAATTGCCAAGAGTAAGCATAGTCATTGTTTTCTGGAAAGGAAAAGGAAATATTTAGACCCAATAAATAAAACCAGTTCTTCCGGTTTCTTCAAAACTCCAATGCATACATTTGTCTATAATTACATACTGTATCAGCTATCACTATTGGACCAGAATTCAGACTGGGTGGTGTTGGATTTTTTTTGGGTGGGGTGAAGGTTTAAGGTGAGAGGGGAAAGATTTAAAAAGGGATCTAAGGAAAACCTTTTTCATGCAGAGGGTGGTACGTGGATGGAACAAGCAGCCAGAGGAAGTGGAGGAGGCGGGTACAATTACAACATTTAAATGACATCTGGATGGGTAGATGAATAGGAAGGGTTTGGAGGGATATGGGCCAAATGCTGGCAAATAGGACTAGATCAATTTAGGATACCTGGTCGGCATCAACTAGTTAGAGCAAAGGGTCTGTTTCTATACAGTATCTCTGACTATAAGAGAGAAGATTTTAGTTTTAGTAATCAGCTACTCTTTAAAATTCACCGTATTCTTCATGTATCGAAGTGTTTACTGAGCTTTATCATATTTTGGTCATCACAAGAAAAAACAGCTTTACCTTCTTCCTGACAAGTCAAAATGTTCTCTTCTGCTTTAGTTGAAGCATTTACACAAGGACAATGAAATGTAAACGGATTGACTTCAACCTCAATGGATTTAAGTAGGTTCACAGCTAAACTTTTACAATTAGCAAAACACATTTTAATCCACTTGAAATTTTCTTCACTCATAGAAAACACTGAACCTACTAAATACAGGTGAATGGTGCACAACTCAAGATTAGTTCTATATTTCAGACCTTGTTTCTCTATTTATATATAAACTTTATCTTAAGTACAAAGTTGCTCAAAAAAATCATAGAACAATGGTAAGACATTAGAAACAGTTGCAAAACAACAAAGTTCAAATTTGAAAGATCACTTGACCAGAGGATCATCCAGCTGGTTGTTCATTCTCCTTTATCCATAAACTGTATCAAATTCAAAACTCTGCTGATATAACAAGGTGTAGAGCTGGATCAATACAGCAGACCAAGCAGCATCAGAGGAGCAGGAAAGCTGACGTTTCGGGCCTAGACCCTTCTTCAGAAAAAAAGT